GTGTGTGTGTCTGTCTGTCTGTCTGTCTGTCTGTCTGTCTGTGTGTGTCTGTGTGTCTGTGTGTAAGTTTCCCCCTCCTTTTTTCTTTGCCTCTGGCTTCCGGACAGACGGGGGAAAAAAATAGAAACAAAATGACTAGATTTAAAAATGTTTTCCATTAAATGATTCTTAGTTTTATATGTACTAGGAGTGTATTAAATCCTTAAAAAAAAATTGAGATAATTTTGATTTCATTTTTAGAGTACTTGCTGAAAATACAGAATCTCCCCGTTATTAAACATTGGAAGTAATTTTGGATTTGCTGTATGTTTCTCCGTATTTTGAGAGTTGTACAAGGAACTAATTTTCCTTGATTAGCATCATCTCCATTGCTCTCTTTCTGGTCATTTTTCCCTTTCATGCATTTCCTTTTCTCCTCTTCCACTTAGTTTCAGTTTTCAAGTGTATATTCACACTGCTACTAGATTCCTTTTCAGAATGCTAGACTTTCTTGGAAAGATAAATTAGCAAAGTAGATCTTCTTTGTCAAAGTCTAAGGTGACAGATATTTTAAGAATTCTGTCAGTTCCGAGTGCAAGCAGTAGTCTGATAGCAGACAGATGTATGCTTATAGTTTATAAGACTGAAACTGGAAATTAGCAGAGCACATTAATATAGAAGAATCTGTGATTTTCCAGTGGCCCTGATCATGATTCTTTTGTGGTCTGGTTAGGGGTTGGATAACAGAGAACCTTTGGTTTATTCTACTGCTACCTCCATCCTCTGCATCCTTCTTTTTTGTCTTCACTGAATGACTACCCTCACAGAGATCAAACTTCTCCCAACATTGGTCCTGCTGGTTTGCTGGTATGTAAAACTTATCCTCCTTGCACGTAGTTGAAGAAAGAGTATTGGGCCTTTTCCTTGAGTGTTTTTTTTTCAAACTGACATGTATTACTATATAATCACGATTCATTGATGATATCAGAATATTCTAAATGCAAGTCTTCAACGTAATGGCAAAAATCAAACTCTGCAAGGTGTGTTTCTTTCTCGTGTGTTTGGGTCATTAGGTGAAAATATAATTAATTTTGGAAATACGATTCCTGTGGTTTTGGTTTTGATATTTTTTGTGCTAAAGAATTTAAAAGCAGTAACTATCTAGAAATTTGGTCATTAAGGTTGTATCAAATAGTTTGTAGTGTACTTCTCTGGAACTGAAAACAAACATTGCTATAGTTACCTTTAACATCAACTTGCGTAGGAAGAAAGGTTGCTAAAACTTCAAAATTATTAACACTGAAATGTAATAAATACTATTAACTAGCATGAAATCTTTTCCAGAGCTGGGTTTTATATATTTCATTAACAGTTAAACTAAAACCTTTGTTTACATGAATTGTATCTTTATATTTCTAATTTTGCATTTGGAATAATAGAGAGTTTACTGAAAAATAATTTACACATAATTTTCTAGTTGATGGTGGTTTTTACCTTTAATTTTCTGTATTATTTCTAGTGAATATTTGGCAATATTCAAGAAGACAGTTGCAATGCATGAAGTGTTCCTATGTCGTGTGGCAGCACATCCTATTTTGAGAAAAGATTTAAATTTCCATGTCTTCTTGGAATATAATCAAGATGTGAGTATTGAATTGATTAAAGCAGTAATTAGTGCTTATTTTTAGAAAGTTGTTGAAAAAGTCAGGAAGTAGTTGGGAAAGGTTTAAGGCCTTTCTTAGAATGCTCTATTATTTTTCAAGACAGTTTAAAGTGACACTTTTTCAATAGTAATGCAGTAGTTCAGTAGAACGTGAGTACATCAATTGAATAAATGATGTTGTATCATGTTACTACATGGGGCATTGTTTTTCATCCTGAATTGTGAACTTCTTAAGAAATAGGGTTAGCAGAATTGATTGATGTTTCTTAAATTTGAGTTGGAGTCTTCTGAAGCTTTGTGGAGAATTCCAGGAGTTAAAGAATTCCAGATTACTTTTGGGCAAATCATTGACACTTGATGAGTTTAACTGACCATCTTCAGTTCTGATCACTCCTAATTTCCCTCCCTCCCTCCCTGCCTGACAAATCTGTTACAGTGCAAAAAGAAAGATTGATTGAGGTAGTTGAGTTTTAAAGATTTCTTCATTAATAGTACTAGCAAGACTTTTTTTTGGTATATGGGTGATACAGATTTTGGGACTTATACTTGAGTGACAAGAGTAACTCAGTTTTAGAGGTTTGCTTATAAATTAACATTAAGATCAAAGAATTTTGTATATATGAATTTTTCTTTGTGATTTGGTTCTAGTAGATATCACAATAAAATATCCTAAATCTAACAATAGAGAAAATTAATTGTTTAAAAAGTATATGAAGCAACTCAGCATTAAAAAAATATAGCACCTTAAGCATGGAAATGTATACGTATATAAGTATAAGTGTGATTTGTGGCAGTGGCGTGTGGTGGTTTATAACTGGGAATTGTAAACAATGCTGGCTGTATTATGAATTGTAAGCAGCTGAAAAATAATTCATGAGTAGGCTGCTAAAGAACACATGGAAAGAATCGCCACTTAGCTACTTTTTTATATTTATGAATAAGTTTTTTGCTAGGCTTTATTTACCGCCTGGGTTAAACCCTTAGTAATAATTTGGTAGAGCAGTGTAGGTGTGAAGTGAGTCATGGTAATATCAGTGTAGGACTGCTCCAACTACAGTAACTCCCTTCTCCAAGTACTCTGTCCATTGCTACAGCACTTGTATTCTCTGAAATTATACGTTTTTTGTTTTTTTTTAAATTTTATTGTTGTACTTTAAGTGAAAGTTTACAATTCAAGTTAGTCTCGCATATAAAAATTTATACATATATTGTTATGTGACCCTGATTGCTCTCCCTACACTGTGACAGCACACGCCTCCTTTCCACCCCTGAGTTCCCATGTCCATTCAGTCTGCTCCTGACCCTCTCTGCCTTCTCATCTCATCTCTGGACAAGAGCTGCCCATTTAGTCTCATGTATCTACTTAAGCTAAGAAGCACACTCTTCATGAGTATCATTTTATATCCCACAGTCCAGTCTAGTTTTTGTCTGAAGAGTTGGCTTCGGGAATGGTTTTAGTTCTGGGTTGATAGAGAGTCCAGGGGCTGTGCTTTCCAGGGTTCTTCCAGTCTCAGTCAGACCGTTAAGTCTCGTCTTTTTATTAGAATGTGAGTTCTGCACCACACTTTTCTCCTGCTCCATCAAGGACTCTCTGTTGTGTTCCCTGTCAGGGCAGTCATTGGTGGTAGCCGGGCACCATCTAGTTCTTCTGGTCTCAGGCTGATGCAGTCACTGGTTTTTGTGGCCCCTTTTGTCTCTTGGGCTAATACTTTCCTAGTGACTTTGGTGTTCTTCATTATCCTTTACTCCAGGTGAGTTGGGACCAGTTGATGCATCTTAGATGGCCACTCGCTAGCTTTTAAGACCCCAGATGCCACTCACCAAAGTAGGATGTAGAACATTTTCTTAATAAGCTTTGCTATGCCAGTTGACCTAGATGTCCCCTGAAAGCATGGTCCCCAGAGCCCCGCCCCTGCTACTCCATCCCTCTTAAGTGTTTGGTTGTATTCAGGAAACTTCTTAGCTTTTGGTTTAGTCCAGTTATGCTGACTTCCCTTGCAGAGAGTGAGTGTTGTCCTTCCCTTCACCTAAGATAATTCTTGTCTACTGTCTAGTTAATAACCCTCCCCCACCCTCGTAACCATCAAAGAATGTTTTCTTCTGTGTTTAAACCTTTTCTTGAGTTCTTATAATAGTGGTCTTACATAATATTTGTCCTTTTGTGACTGACTGATTTCACTCAGCATAATGCCTTCCAGATTCCTCCATGTTACGTTTTCACGGCTTCATTGTTGTTCTTTATCGTTGCATAGTATTCCATTGTGTTGGATACACCATAATTCGTTTATCCATTCATCCGTTGATGGGCATCTAGGTTGTTTCCATCTTTTTGCTGTCGTGAACAGTGCTGCAACGCACATGGGTGTGCATATATCTATTCGTGTGATGCCTCTTATTTCTCTAGTATATATTCTAAGGAGGGGATTTCCGGATCGTATGGTACTTCTATTTCTAGCTTTCTGAGGAAGCACCAAATCGTTTTCCAAAGTGGTTGTACCATTTTACATTCCCACCAACAGTATATAAGTGTTCTAGTCTCTCCACAACCTCTCCAGCATTTATTGTTTTGTGTTTTTTGGATTAATGCTTGCCTTGTTGGGGTGAGATGGTATCTCTTATAGTTTTGATTTGCATTTCTCTAATGGCTAATGATTGTGAGCATTTCTTGATGTGTCTGTTAGCCACCTGTATGTCTTCTTTGGCAAAGTGCCTGTTTATATCTTTTGCCCATTTTCTGGGTTGTTTGTCTTTCTGTTGTTGAGGTTTTGCAGTATCTTGTAGATTTTAAAGATAAGACGCCAAAAATTTTTCCCAGTCTGTAGGTTGTCTCTTTACTCTTGGTAAAGCCTTTTGATGAGCATAAGTGTTTGATTTTTAGGAGCTCCCAGTTATCTAGTTTCTCTTCTGGTGTTTGTGTATTGTTACTTATGGTTTGTATTTCGTTTATGCCATGTATAAAGGTTCCTAGTGTTGTCCCTATTTTTTTATTCCATGATATTTGTCGTTTCGATTTTGTATTGAGGTCTTTGATCCATTTTGAGTTGGTTTTTGGGCATGGTGTGAGGTATGGGTCTTTTCAGTTTTTTGCAGATGGTTATCCAGGTATGCCAGTACCATATGTTAAAGAGACTGTCTTTTCCCCCAGTTAATGGACTTTGGGCCTTTGTCAAATATCAGCTGCTCATAGGTGGATGAATTTATGTCTGGATTCTCAATTCTGTTCCATTGGTCTATGTATCTGTTTTTGTGCCAGTACCAGCCTGTTCTGAGTACCATGGCGGTATAATAGGTTCTAAAATCAGGTAGTGTGAGGCCTCCCACTTTGTTCTTCTTCTTCAGTAATGCTTTATTTATCC